AGTTAACCCTAACCCAACTCGACCTACCCAACCCTTACCTTAACCCTAACTAAATTCCTTCAATCCTAACCCATTCCAGCCCAACCCAAAGTCAACTTCGGGTTGGGCCCAACTCAACCTTCTTCCCATCTCTTAAAATCTTGTAGAACTTCTAAATCTTAGATTTTCACTCAACTTTCATTACATATATTAATCCTATGTTTTATTAATATTTGTTTGTTGATGTTTTTATTGGTTCTTTTATGGTCAACAAGCTTTGGGTGGCAAACAATAGAGATGAGATAAAGAATAAAATATTCAGAAAACATAAAATATGTTATCAAGGTTTTAGTATTTCCAATTAAGATTAAGTGAAGTGATTATTTTAAATGAAATAAATGATAGTATGTGGTAGTGGCTATACAACTATCATGCATCTAAACAAATCAATGTATGATCATATATATAACATATATACTATAGAGTCAGGTTGCCCAAGGGGTCAACCCTAACCCAACCTGAGAAAAGTCAGGTTCATAAATTTCAACCCTAACTCTAACCTGAGCATCAACCCGACCCAACCCTTTGGTTGGGTTCGGGCTAACCCCGCCTAAGTTTCAGCCTTAACTATATGAGGAAAATACACACATCCAATTTTATGCCTCTAGCTCTAAAACTTGCTTTTCAAGGATAATTAGTGCCATGAAAGGTACAAATCCTCTAATCTCTTAAAGAAACTTGCTTTTCAAGAACACTCATTGTAGATCATAAACTAAAACCTTCACCGATTTCTAACCAGGGTTAACATATTTTTGAATTCTGCATTGTTACACATGAGAATTTGATTTGTTATCAAATTTCATGACAACGATTGCTTAGAGGATACATGTAAAGGAAGGGCATACTTGATACCAACTCTTTCATTGGGGCATTGAAGTAGTGATGTAGCTTTCAACCCGGAGGCTGAACATTTTTTGCCTATGTGGTGCAGGTCATCAGTTTGACATCTGGGTCAAACTAGTAAGACCGTGCCACGTCAATAATACATACATATATGTGTGTGTGTGTGTGTGTGTGTAGGTATGTATAAACATGCATTTTATCAATAAATAATATATAATTATGTTCTACATGTAATATATATATATTATTTTATACTTAATTTATGTTTTTTAATTTTATTTTAATTTTTTATTTATAAAAATATTAAAAATTGTAAATTGAGACCAAAAAAGGATTTTTTGGTGAAAACAATTGGATAAGGCACTAATGGATGCATAGATCTCGAAAAGTTACCCAAAATAAAAAATCACCTCAATCGAACCTCAAATTGCAAAGTTATGATCTCCCGATGTTTTCATACACATTTAGTGTGCAACCCGTGGCCTGGTCATTGGGCTGAACTAGTCAATGGTCCAACCGTTTGGGTTTGGTGGTTTTTGGTGAAGTCAACAATTTTTTACTGTCCATCGAGTTTTACTAAATCCAAACCCAAAATCTTGATTGGATGACAATTTGAGTAGTTCAACTAGCCAGGTCAATGACAGGTTGAAAATACTAATCTCAACTACTAAACCTATCTATGAATTTCAACAATGTGTCAAATGTTTCATTTTGAAAATTTAAAGAATAATGATGGGTACAATAGTCTTTTTTCATCTTTCTGTTAATAGACGCTAACAACAGGGGGGATTTAGTCAATTGTCAAGAAACTTAGGGATATTTTAAGACAATATGTAAATAGTAGGGGTAGAGTTAGTCAATTTCCTAGAACTTATGGGTACTTTAAGAAAATTTTCCATAACAAGAATTGATTAATAAGTAAAGACAAATAAATGAAGTATAAAAAGAATAATAAAAACATAAATTTAATTTTGATTATCAGATATATCTCTTTTAGTTATATTGTTCCATTCACACAAGATGTAATGGCAAACATAATCGGAGGACTAGTCATATGAACTTAGTTATATTAATCATGACTGCATCTTGTATAAGTTTATTTATAAAAAAATAGTTAGGGATCACTTACAAACAACAAGACTTTCTCATTAAATCACATAAAATAAAACTTGATTTTACAATAACCTTACTCCTTCACATAACCCTATAATTATAATTTAGCCCATCACTTCATTTTCCAAGTTACAATCAAACTGTTTATTAAAAGTGGCCCTCTACAACTATAAATTAGATTTTATGTCTAGTTTGGTTTGGGTTCTATAATTAAACAGTTTAGTCTAGTCTAAACAATTATGGAACCCTAGTTTTCTGATTTGATTTGAGATTTCTCCAAACCAGACTAGACCATGAACATTCCTATTTATCATACTAGTGGAGACCCATGCAATGCATGGGCTTTGTTTAGCGAAAGCTAAACAATAGAAATATATAAGAGTATACAATTGTTTTATATTTTAACTTTTAAATAATTAATAATTATTTATATTATATATACTACTTTTAAGAATTTATTATAAATAACATTAATTAATTTCAGCTAGGGTTGTTCATCAAACTGATGAAACCGATCAACTTGAACCGACTCGACCCAAGTTGGTCGGTTTTATAGTATTTTCTAATCGACTTTGGTTTAGCAATTTCCCAACCCAACCAAGTTAGGTCAGTTTCGTTTTGGCAATTTGTAAATTGACCAAAACCAAACCGACTCGACCATAGATATATACTTATATTTTATATTTTAAATTAATTTTTTAATACGGGAAAGTAGGAAATTCCCATATTTCTTAGTCTAAAATATTTTATATTGTAAATTTAATTTTTTAATAATACCATAGTAATTTTTTAATTTAAATTTAATTTTTAAATTCAAATTATTAATTTAAATCTTTTGAACCAACCCATCAAACCAAAAATCAACCTACATCAATATAACCTGAGTTGGCCAATTTTCACTAATGGTAAGTCGGTTTTGAGTGGCCAACTCCCTAACCTGACTAGGTCGATTTGGTTGGCCAAATAGCCTACAACTAAACTGAACCAATCAGTTAACACTCCTAATTTCAACTAAATTAATAGTCTAATATCTAATAAATAACAATAGTTTAATCTCCAATAATTATTGAAAATTGATAGTGAAAATACACATTTATTAAAAATAAATTTATAATGAAAATACAATAAATAACTAACAAAAATATAATAAATACTAAAAATATATTAAATTATTCAATAAATAGTGTAATCTCTAATAAATATTCATCAATAAATTATAACAAAAATAACATAAATATAATAAGTGCAATAAATTAAATATAAAAAGTTAAATAATAGTAGTTTAATCTCCAATAATTATTGAAAATTTTCTATTAAATAACAAAAAAATATATTTATACATAATTATTGAAAATATATTTATAAAAATGCAATAAATAATTACTAAAAATACAATAAATATTAATTTTAGTATATATAAATATATATTAATATTTTGAAAGTTATTTCTAGAATTATTAATTGATATAAGTGAAATTAGTTATTTAAATAATATCATTATTTAAAATTTAAAATATTAATTATTTATTGAATTTAGTAATCCGTAAAATTATTATTTATGCTATTATTACATAATTTCGTTATGTTAGCTATTTAAAATTTAGTTATGTTGAATGTTTTGATATTTAATATATTTAGTTGTTTAAATATTTAAATAATATATAAAATATTTAATTTTTTTTGTTATTTGAGTTTTATTTATTTAAAAGTTATTATGTAATATTCAATATGTTGTTATATAATTATTTATAATTTTTTATTTAAGATATTTATTTATTGAAATATTTAAATAATATTTTATTTTTTAATGTTAAATTTTATTATTTAAATTGAATTATCCATAAATTTTTATATTGTTAGTACATAATTTAGTGATAAATTTTGTAAAAATATAAAATTATTAGTAATATGAATATTATTCAATCTATTATAATTATATTTTGTATTTTTAATAAATATTTTAATGTTATTATATAATTTCGTTTTAATATTTAAATAATTCTTAAAATTTTTAATTCAAAATTTCTTGAGGCTGTATTTGGTTTGAAGGAAAAAGTAGGGAAAGGAAGGGAACGGTAAAGAAACCTATATTAGCTTTGTAAAGTTTCCCTACTTTCCCTTCTTTTCCCTACCTTTTCCTTTAAACCAAACATAACCTTAGATATATATAGATAAAAGCTAGAGGAGAGGATAAATAGGAATTAGAGATATTTGGAAGAAAGTGGGGGATAGTGGTTCCACTTGGCTGGACATTAAAAAAACAAATCCCTCTATTGGTTGTTAGAGATAATTTAGCCTCTGTTATTTTATTATTGGTTTAATAGGTAATTACATGAAATTAAAAAATACAAATTTCAAAACAAATAAAAAATTAGGAAGGGATTTGGAGCAATGAGACATGATGACAGATACATCCTGTCCTGAATCAGACTCGACCCATTTAACAGGTCTAGCAACAGCTGCTCCAACGAATTCGGATTTTGTCTTCCTTTATAGCGTGCATTGAGAATACCTCTCCAATGCAAGAATACAAGCACAAGGGCTGTGAAGCCTGTGAGGACGATTTTGTGATGAGAATTCTGATGAATTTTCCCCGGGTACCCGCGTTACCCGGATACCCATTAACCGATAAATGAACTCGCCCGGGTAAGCGCGTTAAAGAATTCTGATGAATTTGTGATTCTATCAATATCAATCATGTTTTAACTTTTAAAGGTTGCAAATTTGGATGTACGAGAATTTCGAACAAAAGAATTTGGATATATGAAAATTGAAAATAGCTAAAATAATATAAAGTTTTCTTTTGGACTGGAGAGTCGAGTCGAGACTCATCCAATTTCCAAGTGATAGATTTATTGAAATAAAAAACTTCAACATTTTAGGTTCATTATTCATAAAACAAATCTTTACTCATTCTTCTAATAATGATAGAAGAATATTAACCGAACGAAGCCTTAATTCAATGTTTTATGGTCTGGAACTTGCCAGCTGGTGCAGTGGTGTGGCAAAATTCAAAAACGTGGAGCCATTTACAACCACACCCTCTCACAAGTCCAAACGAAATAGACCTCGCCGCCTACAAGATACAAGCAGAGGTAGAAGACGGTGAAATGAAAGTAAATCAGGAAAAAAAAAAAGAAAAAAAAAAAAAAACCTTATCACCCTTATCACAAAATAATTTGAAGAGAGAAGAAACAGCCACACAAGCAAGCTTTGCCACCACCAGAAGCACAAGCTAAATACTGATGAACTTCTCTTTCTCTCTCTTCCTCTGTCCCTGACTCTGCAATCAGAGGTTCCAGTGATTTCGCGCTGCCCAATCCAATTTGCAGAAAACCCATTTGTGACATCTCCGAGGTAAGATTTCTATCTCGAGAAACAGTTCACTTGCCGCTTCTGTATCTCGTGTATCTGTTGTCGACACTCCATTTCCTTTTTTGTTATTGAAACTAGAACTAGGGCTTCTGTTTGTTATAGGGGAATTGTAACCAGTGGATATCTATCAGGTGGCACTGTGATCAAGGTTGATCTTTGTTTGCCATAAGGTTTAAAATTCATCCAAGTTTGGTTACGGTTAACAGTTCTGATTCTTTCAAGATCGAATTATAGATAAAATGCAATTCGGTAGGATATAGTTAGGAGGCTGCATTGTAGTTTAGTTATTGGGTACTGTTTTCTTGGGTTGATGCCGATTTTGGGCTCTCTGTAACAACCATGTCTGTTCTAGCTTCCCTTGTAAGTCTGGGAGGTGTGAGAGCTAGTTCTTTGACCAGTTACTTTGAAGGTAGTCCTTCATTACCTCGAAGAATTTCGATAGTTAAGGGGAGTAGTTTTGGTAATCCGATTGGTTGGCACAGATGGAGCTGTGTGTATGTATGTAAATGCATGGTCACGACAGATTTGGTGGCGGAGCAAGGGAGCTCGGTTTCTTTAGAATCCACCTTCAGAGGGAGCAAAGATGAGGATGTGGATCTTATCCTCAAGCCTGCACCCAAGCCTGTTCTGAAAGCCAGGCCTAAAGCTGAATCGCTTCAAAGTATTAATGCACAGAATTCAATACCCTGGTCCCCAGCAAAACCCAGTAGGGATTCTGATGATGAGAAATCTGATGATACAGAGGAGAGAAGTAGGGTGATAGAATCACTTGGGGAAGTGTTGGAGAAGGCAGAGAAACTCGAAACCAAGAGTCCTGGAAAACTGGATACTGTGAAAGAGAGTGGGGACCGTAATAAACCAGAACCTAGCAACCCGAGGACCAGTAGGCCAGTAAATTCCACAGGGAGTCGGAAAACTAAGACTTTGAAGAGTGTATGGCGGAAAGGGAATCCAGTGTCCAGTGTGCAGAAGGTTGTTAAGGAGTCTTCTAGGCCTCCCATGATTGAGAAAGTGGATAGGAATCTAGGGGATGCAGAGAAGGTAGAAGCTCAATCTCGTGCTCCATTAAGATCTCCTCAGCCACCCAAGCAAGTTCAACCAAAGTTGCAGGCAAAACCTGCTGTTGCTCCTCCTCCTGTAATCAAGAAGCCAGTTATCTTGAAGGATGTGGGGGCAGCTCCAAGGCCTCCAGTTACCGATGACAGTGCCCCTAGTCAAAAGACCAGAGAACGAAAGCCAATCTTGATTGACAAATTTGCACCAAAGAAACCTGTGGTTGATCCTGTAATTGCTCAAGCAGTTTTAGCCCCTACAAAACCAGCTAAGAGCCCTGCCTCAGGAAAGATTAAAGATGAGTATCGTAAGAAAACTGGTGCAGCTGGAGGGGTACGGAGACGTTTGGTTGATGAAACTGAGATTCCAGATGAGGAGACTTCAGAACTCAATGTCTCCATTCCTGGTGCAACAACTACAAGGAAGGGGAGGAAATGGACCAAAGCAAGTCGTAAAGCAGCTAGGCTTCAGGCAGCAAAGGATGCAGCCCCTGTAAGAGTTGAAATTCTAGAGGTAGGAGAGGAAGGTATGCTGACAGAGGACTTGGCTTACAACTTAGCCATCAGTGAAGGTGAAATACTTGGGTATCTGTACTCAAAAGGGATTAAGCCCGATGGGGTGCAAACTTTGGACAAAGACATGGTGAAGATGATTTGTAAGGAGTATAATGTGGAAGTCATAGATGCTACACCTGTCAGGTTGGAAGAAAAGGCAAAAAAGAGGGAAATTTTGGATGAGGAAGACCTTGACAAACTGGAAGATAGACCTCCTGTTCTCACTATAATGGGTCATGTTGATCATGGAAAGGTATGGACATACATTTATCCATTTTTGGGTTTCTTTTTTTTTTTGGTTTGAATGGAAATGTATTTCATTGATATCAGGATTTCACTAAAATGTTGTTTATGTTATCCACTTGGCAGACAACACTTTTGGATTATATTCGAAAAAGCAAGGTATATTTGAAACTTAACCATAATTCCTTTTCCTATTCCTTTTTTATGGTGGCACATATAATTGAGTATGCTCTCTATTGGCATCTTTCATTCATTGTTCTTGATAAGAAAATTTATACTTGGGCATTATATAATTGCCTCCTAGAAGAGACAAACTGCCAAACTGGGCAAGCTAACCTACTTATATGATCTCACCATCAGGCTACCTGTGTTTCTTTGGACTATTTATCAACTTATTATTGACTATTCCAAAGAATGTAAATGACTGCACAATTGGACTTCTAATAATCTAATCAATTTGAATTAGTACTACATGGTAGTTCAAATCGCTGTGTAATTCTCAAAATGGATATACCAATGATATATTATGTGCTAAACATACTTTAGATGTGACTGGTATACTTTTCCAGGTAGTTACAACTGAAGCAGGTGGAATAACACAAGGAATTGGAGCATATAAGGTGCTTGTTCCTGTTGACGGCAAGTCTCAACCTTGTGTTTTCCTTGATACGCCTGGACATGAGGTAATCTCTTGAAGTCTCTTTTTTCCTTTAGATATTCCTTCTGTTGCAGTGCTGCTTTTGTTTCATTTCTCTGTTCCTTTGGGTTTTTTGTTGTCACTGTCAGATCTTCAAATATTGAAGTAGTTTCTTTTTTCGGAAGCTTTAACATAGATTTTATTTATTTATTTATTTTTATCTTGGCTTCATTTTCTTGTTTGTGTTCTTATTTAATCTTGTAGGCATTTGGTGCAATGAGAGCCCGCGGAGCAAGGGTGACGGACATTGCCATTATTGTGGTTGCTGCCGATGATGGAGTTCGCCCTCAAACAAATGAGGCCATAGCTCATGCTAAAGCAGCTGGGGTGCCAATTGTTATAGCTATAAATAAGGTGTGTCTGTTAAGTAGCAGGTTTTGTTGAATTGGTCTTTCAGAATTTCTGACTGCAATATCTTATTCTTATCTTATCTCTCCCTCTCTTCCAGATAGATAAGGATGGAGCTAATCCAGAAAGAGTCATGCAAGAACTTTCATCAATTGGTTTAATGCCAGAAGATTGGGGTGGTGATACCCCAATGGTTCAGGTCTTTATTTCCCTAAGGATGAAAATTGTACTTGTATCTTTAACTATTCTTTTTAATACTTTATAAGAGAGCTTATAATGAATTTTATCCATCAGATCAGTGCCCTGAAAGGGGAGAATGTGGATGAATTGTTGGAAACGGTCATGCTTGTTGCAGAGGTAATATATTGCTTTTTGTCTTATTTAGTAGGACATGCTAATAAGTTTGGTAATGATATTTTATTGTAATAGAGAATAATCTTTCCCATAGTTGTAGCTGCTTCTATGAAATAGTTGTTAGTCTGAAATGTTATTGAAATATTGAAAGATTTTTGTCTTATTTAGTAGGACCTGCTAATAAGTTTGATATTGATATTTTCTTGCAATATAGAATAATCTTTCCCATAGCCATAGCTGCTTCTATGAAGTAGTTGTTAGTCCAACATGTTATTCAAATATTGAAAGATTTTTCTACTATATATCATTCTTCTATTTTACTAAAAGATTCTTGCTGCTCATTTTGTTGTATTGATATTCCATTTTCTTTGGTTCTTATACATTTTAACAATCCTTGGTTTTGTATTTTAAGTTGCAAGAATTAAAGGCCAACCCTCACAGAAATGCAAAGGGAACTGCAATTGAAGCAGGCCTTCATAAATCAAAAGGACCTCTGGCAACATTCATTGTGCAGAATGGTACACTCAAAAGGGGGAATGTTGTAGTCTGTGGTGAGGCCTTTGGAAAGGTTAGTCACTAGTATTTTTGTAAAAATTATTACTTATTTGAAGTTTTTTTCCCCTTTATCTTCTCTCTTATGATTAGATTGAAATGTTGCAGCTTGTTTTGATTAATTCTATTATTTATTGATGGATTTATCTGAATGGTGCCCTGGTTAGGTGCGGGGTTTATTTGATGACAGTGGAAATGGTGTTGATGAAGCTGGACCATCTACAGCTGTTCAGGTTTTGTAGTATATTTCCTTTTCATATTAACAGTACTTGAATAAGTTAAAAGGCAACTCCATCTATAAGCCTTTGTACATTTCCTTTTTGACCATTTGAACTTGTAACCCCTCTTTCTTTGGAAAAGCAGTTACATTCCCAAAAGTGCTACTCACAAATTTACCATCATTGATAAACAAGTTAAACGGAAAATAGTTTTGCTATTAATATCAAAAATTGAAAGCCAGCTGAAGGATATAAGGATAATCATGCTGTGGCTAAGTTGAGTCCTTACTTGTGCACCACTTTCTTTTCCTTCTGCCTAGCTAGGCATGGATGAAGTTGAGGCTGCTTTGGAGTTATGCATGAGAAATGCATATATGATGTTCCAGATGATTTTTTTTTTCTTTGAAGAAAGAACCTTATGGGAGCATTACTATTATGAGATCAGTACACGTTTGATGCTTATCTTTCATTACTTGAAACCTAACTATTACTTTCCACAATAAAAAATAATAAGTTAATAAATAAAAGAGAAATGAGAAGTGAGAAACTTCCATTATACTGTTTGGATGATTTATTCATATTTTTTCTTCTATCTGTTTTTTGAACTGACTCCTAAAAATTTATTGGACACCATTTATTGCCACAGGTCATTGGGTTGAATAATGTTCCAATTGCGGGTGATGAATTTGAGGTTGTTGACTCTCTTGACATTGCACGTGAAAAGGCAGAGGCACATGCAGAGTTGCTGCGCAATAAACGTATATCTGCAAAGGCTGGGGATGGGAAGGTCACTCTTTCTTCCTTGGCTTCTGCAGTTTCAGCAGGAAAGCAATCTGGACTAGATCTACACCAGCTCAATATTATTATGAAGGTTGATGTCCAGGTACAAATATCCCCAAAATTTTAATCAGAACTTGATGGTCTAGCTTTTGATTTGCCCCATACTCGGGTGAAATCCACTATTTGATGGCTTCTGCCAAGGAGATGGGCTACAACAAGCATTAATAAGATAGTTGAAATAATTCTTCTTACATTGTCCTAGTATTGTTTGGGAAAAATAAAATGGTGGTTTTGAAACCATCAACTTTGTATGGAGTGAAATTAATAAACAAAGGACTGATAGAAAGGTTTCTTTCTTGATGGATGACCATCTCAGTTTTAAATATATTTGGGAGGCTTCTCCATATGATGGGTACATAAAATGGAAGTCTCCTGATGGATAGTGTATCCCTCACTCTGACATGTGCACCACAAAAGAAAAGAAAAACTGTTCTTATGGTCTGCCCAGTTGGTAACCTGGATTTCTTTAAAGTACAAATTTCCTTTTCCATATACTTATCTATGTGGATTTTTATCAATATTGAAACTAATTTGAGACCTGATCATCAATAGGGGTCCATTGAAGCTATCAGACAAGCTCTTCAGGTGCTCCCACAGGATAATGTCACTCTAAAGTTTTTGCTGCAAGCAACAGGGGATGTAAGCACAAGTGATGTTGATCTTGCTGTTGCTAGTAAAGCTGTTATATTGGGTTTTAATGTCAAAGCACCAGGTTCAGTTAAGAAATATGCAGATAACAAGGGTATTGAGATTCGGCTGTACAGAGTCATCTATGAACTCATTGACGATGTGCGGAATGCAATGGAAGGTCTCTTGGAACCGGTTGAGGTGAGAAATGAAACTTTCTTGTATTTCATTTGATTCTTTTCCCTTGCCCAGTGATGTGATTATGGTGGCTGGGTAACTGTAGTGTAGAAACAGTTCTTTTTATAAGCATGAAAGATTGATCCACAATCCATATCCACCCACTATTCCACTTATGAACCTTGTCAATTAACTATGACTAACAGCATAAGGATGTGGCAATGATTATATATATATGTATGTATGTTTCCAATCATTCTCTCAAGTGTCAAGTTTTAGCATGGCAAGCTTCTAGGTTGGCTTTGTTTGACCGTGTCCCAGTTCCTTTATTCTGTACCCTGTGTTGCTAAGATCAATATGAATAAAGATTAACAGATTTATATATTGATAGGAACAAGTACCAATTGGAGCAGCAGAAGTCCGGGCCATCTTTAGTAGTGGAAGTGGTCGTGTTGCTGGGTGCATGGTAACAGAAGGAAAAGTAGTGAAAGGCTGTGGTGTTCAAATTACTCGAAATGGGAAAACCATCCATATTGGCGTTCTTGATTCTTTGAAGAGGGTGAAAGAAATAGTAAAAGAGGTACGCACCTTGGACTATTAGCTTTCTGGTTGGTAAATTATGGTTGTTTGTACTGTAGATCTGGGTTGGAAACCCATCTTCATCCACTAACAATAAAAAATAATCACTAACCCACTTTCCATCCAAAAAAATAATAAATAAATAAATAGATAAAGAGAATAAACAAAAAGAGAAAAAGTCTATGGCACTGAACGATTAAACTCAAGACTTCTCACAAAAGGGAGGCAGTGCCTTAATTACCTGGGAAATTCATACACAAATGTTTGGTTGAGGGAAAGTGCGTTTCATAGTTAATTTGGGATTTTAAACATGTTGGGGACATGAAAATTAACAAGCACTAGATATATGCAACTATGCTTAAGGTTATGGAGAATCCCTTGCCCATGAAAATTGTGTCACTGGTGTTACTAGAGATGTAGGGATATAGGTGAAAAAGTGATAGGTTATTGCCTCCTTCGAGGGTAGCTGATGCAGGAGCTGGAGAGTCAAAATTAGGATTTTATGAAATTTTATGTATTTCTGTATTTTTGGACAGGGGGGTATTTTTATCATTTTTACAATTTTATGTAGCGAACAATGATAGGGTTTAATTTGTCTAGTTATAGTTTATGTTTAAAATTTCAGAGTCATTGCTTAAGTAGGAGTAGAGTTATTGAGTCTTCTTTAAATTGAAATAGGATATGACAGCTTAGTTTGAGTCCTACTAGGATTATTGAGTCTAACAGTTTGATTCCTAGGATTATTATGAGTTTAGAGTCTATAAATATGTATGGACGTTTTACACAAAGACAATAAACATATTGAGTTTTCTTCAGCTTATGCTAGCTATGGTGAGTGATTCCCATGCCCTAGAGTGATTCTAGGCACCCTCTGAGTGATTCCAGGTATTTTCTCTCTTCTTTCTCTCCCTATTTTCTCTTTTATTCCTTCAAGAAGCCATTACAGCCATCAGCAGCCATAAAATTCTGATCCAAGAAGACCATTCACATTCTCTAAGGACTAGAACTGAGCTGGTCCTACTTCAGTAGCACTCCTACAGAGAGAAAAGAAAATATCTGCATTGCTCCCACACAGGTCTCTCTCAATATTTATACTTGTTATTACAAAATCGTAACTAACTAATGATAGCCCATATGTCGGCTCTAGCCGATCAGCTAATGTTGTGTGGGAACCTCCTGGTGTAGACTTGACCATAGCCTTTAGTCTGTTGCTTCGGATACTCAATCTATTTGTTCTGCGGTCCACAATTGAGCATCAACATCCATCATTTTGGCATTCTGCTTGACCCCCCCCCCTTCTTTCTCTGTGTTTCACTTAACCTTTCTAGGATATGAGAAAATATAGAATATCTTCTCTATATTGTCCTTATTGATCCAGTGAGTTTGGGATTCCCCAAGAAGATACTATTGAAATTGAGCTTCAAGGAAGCCTCTTTCTCTTTAACACTTGCTCCTATGTTTTACTATTAACTGTCATGAATCATCACCTCGGAAAGTCGTCAGATGGGAAAATTTGGGTACTTTGAGAAAGGCACACCATATCAAGGTCCATGTATGAATCCCATACCATGCTTCTTGTTGTATGGTTGGAGGCTTCTGCCTTGCATATAGATCAACAAAATGCACAAGAAAAGAAATCTCCAGAAAATTCTTAGTATATCTTGTATACCTTTATCTGTTTTTCAATTCAGAATGTTTTAATATGTAATAATGGTGGATGCATATTAATTGAAACAGAAGAAATATACAGCTTCTTTTCTGGGTTTTGTTGAACTTCTCTGAATGAGTTACTCTTATTTTCCCTGGCCAGGTTAATGCTGGACTAGAGTGTGGTATCGGGGTGGATGATTTTATTGATTGGGAAGTGGGGGATGTTGTTGAGGCCTTCAACACAATGCAGAAGCGGCGGACACTTGAAGAGGCATCAGCTTCAGTGGCTGCTGCTTTGGCAGGGGCAGGAGTTGAATTGTGAAACACTAGAGCTGACTAAGAGAAAAAAAAAAAGGTTCAATTAGCTAATATACTTTTTGACTCTATCAAGGTCTATTTTGGTTCCTCAAGTATCGATTACCTGGAGGTGTTTCAAAATGCTTTCCAGTTTTGCATTGCAACCTTGTCGCACCATTATGTTCGACGAGTTGATCCCAAATATCTGAGGGGTTCTGATTTTTTGTTCATTATTTTAAGCTATGCTGTATATAGTGTTGTATCTTCAATTTCAGCTTTTTGTTGTAAAGAAGGGATATTTATTTGAAATACCTGTAAGATTTAGTGCCACACCCACTTGTAACAGTTTCTGACACCCTTGAAAGAGCAATTATTCCAGCTCTTTTGATGTTGCAACCATGAACAACAATTTATCATGTACTATTTACTTTTTGGTTATTAAACAACTGACCAGTAACTTGATATACAGGATCTACTGAATACATACTAAGATCAACATATCCTCGTACATCTTGCTGCTAGCCTTTTAGTCCAAACTCATACCATGGCTTATACACATCATGTATGCCATTCCTTCATTGAGTAGCATATTTTCCTTCATTGTGAACTTGTTACCCAGAACCATATTTAAAATAATTCTAGGAGGCTAGGATTACTGCCTTTATGTTCATTTTGGCAGTGTTTGGCATCGATGCTGTTGCTCCAGAAAATGGTCACACATCAGCGTCATGTTGGAAAATTCGGTGCTTCAGAAAACGGTAATATGTTTGGAACCGTTTTTCCATAAAAAACAGTGCTCCAAATCATGTCTTGGAAATTGAAAAGGCGTGGTCTGGGGAAACGCTGAATTCGACGTTTTCTCAATTTGGAGCTTGTTGCTGCCAACGAAGATATATGATGTGACAGTGACGTGAACTTCTTATAATGGGTACAGTGCTGAAAACAGATATGAAGCATTGGTACCAAATAGAAGGTGTTGCTGTTGCTCCAAGAAACGTCCTACCTGGTAGTAATGTTTCCAAACAAAAAAAAAGACACCATGTTCTCAGAAAACGGTGCTGTATATGTAGCATCGATGCCAAACATATGCTTTGTTTACCTACTGTTGTTTGCGACTATAAACACCTTGCTAGTTCTTTTTTTGTTAGCTACATGTCATTAAATGAAACTTTGTCACTGCTCAGATACTTAATGCTCAAAACTTTTATTAGTAATTATATTTGTATGTCATCTCTTTTTGTATGGAAGATGATGGATGTTGGATTCTCATCTCGGCTGCTTTGGTGATTAACTTGTATGATAAAACTAAACCTATCAATATGGGTTCACAAATGTATGTTCTTTTCCTTTCTATCTTATTTTATTGCTTTTTTGATTTTTGCATTTAATAAGTGGTATTGACAATAGTTATTTGATGTCACTTCATTTTTTCATCTCAAGATGTATGTATCAGAGCAACTTCACTGACCTGATCTGTGACTCTGTTTTTTAGGAAAACCTCTTTGGTTTTAGGAATCAATTTCATCAAATGGCAAATTTTTGGGTAGTCATTTTCCAATCTTACCCACTAATTGACCAAACTCGAAAATATGGCTGCTACTGCCCTTTCCTTACCTGACTGAAGAATTTACACTGCAAAATTTTAACAAATGCTCAACCTAAGCCTGCAGTCTGCACAAATTGCAGCCCTACTTTCCTAGGCAAATATTGTTGGATGGTTGCATTCGCTTGTGTTGCAAGGTGATAGTCTTATGCTGTTATTATTAACTATAAAGGATGCAGGCCGTGTTGAAGGCATGGGCAAGACAGTTGCAATGGCTTTGGGAATCTAGCAGGTTATGTGAGATCAGCTTCAGTCAGTGCAAGACCCGTTCAAACACTGTTGGAACAGCTTTCGTCGGGAATATCTCCATACTTTTGTGCTTCATTTCACGAGGAGATATTCCCAATGCAAAGCTATGATGACTGTTCGAACGCGGGTTTTGCACCGACTAAATCGGGTTTCGGGTTATGTGTGATGTTTCACTTATCTCTATGGAACTTGTATTAACAATCTCTATTTTATACAGTTCTGCAGGAAAGATTGGGCATTAGCATACGAAGTATGTATGACTGGTAATGGCAAAAATAAAATGCCCCAATGATCTTGTATGTATTAGTAATGTCTCAGCAACATCATTGCTAATGAAGCTTCAACAATGTCTTCAAATTCTATTGAAGGTGGGATAAACTTGCCATACCAGTACATGGAGATATTGCAAACTTGCGATCCTACTGAATGTTTTTTGGATTGTCAATTGGGATGCAACATTAAGGGCTATCGGGTCATGTAAACTTTGCTGCATCTGCATGAATTGTCTAGAAACTCCATTTTACAGAATAATCAGACTGATTAACACAAGGAAAAGATGAAATTTTTTTTTAAGGGACATCCAAAAACTTTGTCGATCTCATGAACACATCCGACCTCGCAATGCCAAAAAAAGGGTCCTATACCGATACATGTTACCTTCTTGGAGGTTCTCAAGATCGTGCTTTAACAATAATGTGGTTCTCAGAGACACGTGTCCTTAGGAAGAAAAAGATGGAATTTTATCTCCCCAAAGTCAGTTGAGACTATGAATGTAGATGCGTGGCATGCATGTATCTTGCCTCTTGGATTCTATAATTAAGAAAAAAATGCAAAGCATTCCTTAGCCAATTTTCTGGAACCCTTGAGCATTTCAGTTATTTCCCAAGACTTGGCCATTTGCTCAAACTTACTATCAATCCATCCTCTTCATCTCTAAAGGCATTCCTTAATCCTCTTTTGAGACTCTAAGGCCATTCTTATCCCTATTGGCTTACATCAAGAATCTCTGTTTGTGGTCTTTTACACTATGAATTTATCTAGTACTTCTAAAAGGGCATTTTTTTAATCGATCAGAACTTAACCAGTAATGGTTGTAGATGGATCACTTACCTAATTGGAGGGAGTAACTGATACCTTTGGATGTCTTCATTTATTGTGGGACCCCGTGATAGTAAAAAACAAATGCCTGTAATACAATTAGGATCTACTCCTTACACGGTGCACCTCACATTGACTTCACACGCACATCCCTCCATGTATTGAAAATATCTCCCATGAATAATAACACATAAGTACACAAGAAATCGGTTTTGGTCAAGGAAAACCCATGCTCACACCATCCCAACAGCCTTTTGTAACCATGCATCAGGAATATTTCTTCATGAAATAAAACACACAAGTATGGAGATATTCTCAATGCAAGGCTGTAAAGGCTGTTCAAAGAGGCATTGCTTTGACGGAAGTCAACCTCCATGAGAGGTTCCCATGTGCCTGAAGGTCGGTGTGAGATGCGCTTTATGAGGAGAATATGGGAGATGGTCAGCTCAAGTTACCCCCTTCAAAATAAAGGAAAAAGAATGGGCCTAATGGAATTTATAAAAGGGTTAATTATTTAAATATACCCTGCGGCTTCACTAAATTACTTAAAGATACCCTGTGATTTTCAAAAATAATTAATGTCTTGCTAAAGAATTTAAATTCAAGTATGACAAAATAAATAAAAGAGCAAAATTGTCCATTATTAATTAAATTTTCAAAACATGTCCCTCTTATTTTTTTTTTTTAAAAAAAAAAAAAAAACTCCTATGGGAGGAACAATGTGAAATCTGTTGTTTCCTCAAACTCACTGGAGAAGTATAACAGGCTGTTGAAATCCAGATGTGTCACATACGCAAATCCAAAAGCCAAAACCTCTATTAGTCCACTGCTGTAACTTTCTGGAGAGCTCAAGAAGCCCTTCACAAAATCGACACATATGACTAGGAATAGAAGGAAGTAAGAACCCTGTGTCAAAGGCATCACCTCCTGCTTCCTGTCTAGAATGTTGTTGACGAACAGAAAAACATATCCAACCCAGCGCAGTGTTTGGGGACTCAGGATTGGGCTTGATGCCAAATATCTTGGCTTGTCGTAGAACAAAGGCATGGATGGTAGAAAAACTTTGTGCATTTCAGATACATTAAATGTTTTCATCAAATTAGAAAAATGCTGGTTTTGAGTTGTAATAGTTCCCCAAATCTGAGTTTAACAAGTAGATTTGAGCGTTAAGCAATTGACTTGGTTGAGTGGGTTATTTATAGCTCGAGCCTCGAGGGATGAAATGTTTCAATTTTCGGCGATGGGAAAAAGGATCATATCAAATGGTACCAGAGCAGTTCGGTCCCAAGGGAAAGGATGAATTGATGGAGAAATGGCAGGAAAAGACCCTTGCCCTTCTTGGAGCGCCTCAACCACCAAGTAGTCACTCCTCTTGAGGGAGCATTGAAGGTTGCAGAATATTCAAGCCTTGCGCCTAAGTCCAGTAGCCTTTGCTGGTGAAACAGTGGTTGTGGTTCAGAATGATAGTGTGAAGATCATCGTATCCCCTATCAAGTGATCCCAACTTCCATGTCAAGGCATCAACTCCCAACTACCACGAAGATCATAACAAAATAAATGTTCATTTATGGGAAACCTCCAACTCTGGCTCAAAAGATGTTCGATGAATGGCCGATTAAAAAATTGGCAGCATCGTATTTGAATCCTAGTAAAGTCAATCATCTTGTTCAATTAAAAGAGGTGTTAGGAGTTTACTTGAAGATGAAATCGGTAGCATCCAATTTAATTACTGGTAGTGCATATATATATTTTATGTTTTGGAATGGTGGTGCAACATGGTTGTTACAGGTGGCTTAGTGGAGTTCTATTCAGTTTATGGAAGCCTGACTGATGTAAAGAAGTCCATGGAAACTATTCCAGGTGAGGATAATATTTTGTAGAACTTGATTACTTTGAGCTATGCAGCCAATGGGTTTGGTGGTCTTCAAATTGGGGGATTGCGTCACGGGTCGGTCCACGGGTAGAACTTTCTATTTTTCCTTGTTTCTCTCTTTCCTTGAGGAACCTATTTTGGCGCCCCAATGGTGATTTGTACAAGAGATCACCTTAACTCTCCTTACTCTTTTCTTGACCGAAAATTTGATGCCTTTATTCTTTAATTCCAGTTCCTCAAATAGGATATTACAAGAGGTAGGGATACTCCTTATTGGATTCGACTTCTTACAGATAAGATCCCTATCTTGGGAAGGATAAGACTCCCTAGATAAATCAAACTCCTACTATAAGACTCCCTACTAAACCTTATCGGATTAGATAAATGAGAAAAACAAATAAGATAACTGTGAAAGATAAGATGAAGTAAGTTGCGGCCTAATCCTACGTGGACTCCTGTGTGGACACCTCGTTACTACCGTTGCTGCTGCCTGCAGCGGTATTTCTTCCCAACGAATGCATCTGCAACATTACACCCCTCCGGGACTACAAGCTTGTTCTCAAGCTCGGGATATGTGTCCCGTAGTTCAGTGAAGGGCACCTAGGTGGCTTCGGCTGATGGTAAGTTGTCCCATTCCACAAGG